TGTGTGTGTGTGTGTGTGTGCCATTTTTTTACTTAAAACGTTTGCTTGCTTGTTGCGCTTCACGTACCACCCGTTGAGGCAATGCTAGTGGCACCCACACACACACACAGAGACACAGAGACACGCATACATATATATATATATGTATGTATGTATGTATAAATGCGGCTCTCACTGATTATTTGGCTGCGTGTCCGTCGGGCCATTACCCGCGCAGCTGCGTTTTAGTTTCGTTTGCTCCCTGCGTCGTTTTTCCTGCACGATTGCGTGTTTGTGTTTGTCTTTGTTTTTTTTTTCTCTTTGCGCGTTTCGTTTGCACTGGCACGAGGCACAAAAAACAGCGTGGCACACCCACGGGAGGGGAGGGGGCGTTGGCGCAGAAGAAAAATAAAAGTTGGCGGTGTGTGTGTGTGTGTGTTGCGGGAGGGGGGGGGGCTGCGGCCCGCCGCGCGGCGAGAGGGACGGCGGCGTCCGCCATCGCGCACATTACACTCGGCAGAAGAGCGAAATAAACGTGAAATCACAAAACATAATAATAACAAAAAGAAAACAAACGAATGGGGGGGGGGGAGCAAACACACAAAACACCGCCCGACAGGGTCCGCAAAGGAAGCCACGGAAGAGGCGCCTGCACGGCTTCCGCTGCGGCCCCTGCGTGGGGGGAGGCACCGCCAGGACGGCGGGCGGCATGACCCAAAGAGACACGCACGCGGGGCGACGGGCCCAGCGCAAAGCCCCAGCGCTCCAACGCGGAAGGGCCGTAAACAAAATAGAAACAAAAACGAAAATAACACACGCACACGCACAGAGAAAGAAAGGGAGAGAAAGAGAGAACGGCGGCCCCAAGCCGCGGCAGTTTAAGCATGACAATTGCGCGTCCGACGGGAGAAAGCCAGGGGCACGGTGGGAGGACACAAAACCAAAAAGAAAAAAAAAGCGCGCGGGAGGGAGAGAGACGCCCCGAAATAAATTCAAAAAATAAAAAATAAATACATAACAACAAAGAGCCCCGGCACTCGTGGCGGACCACTGCACACAGCACAGAGGAGTCCCAGACGTGTGTCGGGCCGGAAACACCCGCACGCAGTGAGAGGGGCGCGTGCAACCACACGGCAGTTTGGGAGGGGGGACTCGCAGCAAAAGAACAAACACGCAGAGAAGAGCAGATTTACTCCGCCCAAGACGCACCGCCCCCCCCGCGGGAAACCGCAACGGGGACGGTACATGGTCAAATGAGGCACAAACCAACGCAGGTACAACAGTAGAAGTGTGTGAAAACACAAAGAAAGAAAGAAATAAACAAAAACACACAAAAGGGGTTTCACAAAGAAAGAGAAAAAAAACGGCAGCGGGGAGGGAGGCAAAGTTTGAGTTTACGGAAACACACGACGACAAAGATGCAAATGGCAAGCGTGTGCGAGGCGCAGGAACGCAGCAAAGAGGCAGGCACTTCAAAGAAGAGTAGTTGGGCGACGGGCAAGAGGCAGCAGCCCCCAAAAAGGCGCAGACATACACACGCACCCCCCTTCGCTTCACCACCACCGCCCAAACGCCGCGCACTCAACGCGCGCGTGGGCAGTCGGAGAGCGGCAGTCAAGGCCAGCAAGCGAAGGCGCACACCCCGCGTCGCAGCCTCTCATTCTTGGCACGTACTTCGTCTCTTCCCCCCTGTTCTCCTCAACGTCTTATCTTTTTTTTCGTTTGCTTCGTTTGGGCGCGGCCTCGCCTTCTCGCTTTTGAGAAGGCGCCCGTCGCGTTCCATTCTGTTCCACGGAACTTTACGGCGGCTCCGCCCGCACTTTCCGCCCATGCACCAGTTTTTAATAATATCTTCTCCCCGGCAGACAGACGGCGTGCGAGCGTCAACTCTCCCACACACAACCACACGCGCCTCGGTGACTGTCGGCCGGCCAAACGGTGAGGTGTGCGATCCGCCGATCGGCTGCGAGTTTGCGGCCGTCTCAGTGGCACCACGCACACACGCACGGCGTCCAACACCCCCAGCGTCGCCTGCTCGATGGCAGCGCGTACGCGTACAAACGGCTGCACGGGTGAATATCCCAGCGCCCCGCGGCGTCAGCCATTTCGCCGCTGGGCGGATATAAAGAGAAACGCGGAAACAAACACAGTCACTCACATGTACATCAAAAACAATAACATCTCCGTGAAAATCATTCAATACAATATCGTGTTGCCCTCTTCTTTTCCCTCCTCCCCCCACCCCCGCCCCCTCTCTCTCACACATTTACTTCCAGCCATGCTGAAAGTAACAGCGGAACACGCACACACACACACAGACTCGTCAGTTGTTTCAGTAATACAGTCGGGGTTATTTCTGCAGCCATCGGTGGCGCTTTCCTCGCTCATCTCTCACTTTTCTCTTTCTCTCACACACACACCAGCAGGGGACGAAAAAAAAAACCGTCAGGGAGAAAAAAACAACTGCAGCGCGAAACACGAAAAGACACACAACGAAACAAAAAAAAACACACAAACAAACTCGGGGGACGCTTGGGAACAGAACTCACCAAATACACACCACATACAGTGAGAGAGAAAGAGATAAAAAGAAAGGACAAGTAACAAAGAAACGACGGGGAAAAAAAACCCACACACACATATACCCAAAGAGGTGAGACTTCCCCGCTCTAGTCAGTGGCAAGGCGCTGGGAGCCACGAGCCATAGCTTGTAGTGGGTGGACTGCAACACGCGTCACCATCCTCCTCCGTGTCGCTGCTGCACGGTGAGCTGCTCGCCCCTCCACCGCTCCCCAGTGAGGAGTCGAGCGAAGGTGACAAAATGTCGCCGGGCTCCGTCTCCAATTGCTTCTGGCATGCGGTGCAAGGGAGCTCGTTCAGGCGCGCCACGGTCATCACAGTAAGCGACGCCGCGGCTGCGGTGGGCCTCGCCGTCGCCGCTCCCTCGCCCGCCGTTCGGGCAGGAGCGGCGGCGTGTACCAAGGGCAGCTCGGCCTCAGGCTTCAGAAAGAACTGGTTCCGCTTCTTCAGCTCCCCCAGCCGCCTTAAAACGTGTTCCTTGTTCCGTTGCAGCTCGATTACGCGAGAACCAGAGTCAAAGAAGTTGTCCACCAAATCGAAAAGATACATTTTGTGGAACTTCATGCGCGCGGCGAAATAGCCCCACTCCTCGAACTCCTCCAGGAGACGATCGGAAACGGTGCGCCAACGTCGCCGCGCCTCCGCGACACCCTCCTCTGAGGTGCCGCGGCAACGGAGGTGTGCAAGGTGCCTGCGGTGCGCCTCGCTCAGTAAGATAACAAGCGCGGCGCGTCCGCAGCCAGGTGGAAGAGTTTCCTCCTGCTGCTGCTGCTGCAGCCGCCACCCGCGAAACACAGGTGGTTGATCGCACGCGTAAGGTCCCTTATCGTGCTGCTTCTGCTCCCGCGCACAGCCTCCACTGCACTCGTTTTTCTCCTCATTATCGTGGCTGCAGCATGCAGCCGCCATGTTGCGGCAATACGGTCGCTGGCTGAAGACGTACTGTGAGCTCTCCTCGATCCCCGAGTCGTAGTCGATCTCCAGGTACTCCTCCTCCGGCGGGGGGGAGACCTCCTGCGGCTCGGCGCACGGGGCCCAGCCGAGATGCGCGTCGGCGACGTCGCGTTTTTCGCGTGGGCAGCAGCCCTCCTCACACGGCATCGGACACGCCGGACGCGTCCCAAAGCGGAGCAGGCAAATAAACGGCAAAAGTAAAATAAATAAAAAAATGACTCCGCAGGCCGCCACAACTCAAGCCGTTGAGCAGCACACTTTGACCCGAACACACACGAAGCAGAAAAAAAAATGTCAGGCAAAAGGAAAGGAAAAAAAGGCTTGAAGAAAATGTGTGTGTGTGGGTATATATATATATATATATGCAGATATATATATATATGTATATATGTATTACCTGCTGGCCGGCACGGTGGTCGATGGTGATGACAACCGTTTGTGTGAAGTATTTATTTGTGTGCGTGTGCGTGTGGGAGGGTGTGGGGTTGCTGTTCCCCGCGTGTGTTCCCTTGCGCCCTTGTGGTTTCCCGCCCGAGTGGCTCTCGACCCGCAGCCCCACGCACTTCCTCCGCTCTCGTCCCTACCCTGCCTGGTTGCCGCCCTTCGCAACGCCGCCTTCCCTCGCTTCGCCGCCGCAACCACACGCCAGATCCGCGGAGGGACGCGTGTGGGAGGCAAAGGGGGTGGAAAAAACAACAAAAACAAAAATAGTTGCGGTCACCCACAGCCGCACAATATGTAAAGGCAGATGTATTTATGTGTGGATTTAGCTACTCACAGCGTCACACAGAAAAACAAAGAAAAAAATACACTAAACACAGCAAAGATAAACTAAAAACCCAAAGAAAAAAAACCTACGCTAGTTGTCCGCCAATAAATACCCACAAACAAAAAAAAAGAGAGAGAGAGAGAAAAGGCGAAAGGGAGTTACCGCTGACAATCAGACCACGCAGGGAGAACCCTACGCAGGCAAGAGCCGTAGCAGTACCAAGAGAGGAGGAGAATAACAGGGAGAAGCAATACGAATACCTCTACATCTGCGCGCAGCTCTAACTTTTTCAGAGTGTTCGACAATAAAATAAGTAAAACAGGGCAGTGAGGGACAGGGAAAGGAAGAATGGATCCCCTCTGCACTACAGCCTCGTCCACATTTGTGGCATATATGCCCCCCGCCTGCGCGGTGCTTGTCTTGTACTCTTCTACCCGGCAAAGGCAACCCCAAAAACTGGGCCAGCGAATAAATGGCACACGTGCGTGCGCCCAGTGGCAACGCACACACGCAGAGGGCACGCCGCCGCTCTGCACCCCTCATTCTCCCAATCCCTCCCTTCGACGCCTCCGCCACCACCAAGACGCATTCAGCATGAGAATCACCGCCCCATTTCAGCTCAACGCAGCACCCGAGGTGCATCTCCGGCATCGCGCTCCTTCTGCAAAAGCTCATCCTCCTCGGCTAGTATGCGTGAGAGAATAATCTGCTCCACCATGGCATCGAATGCCTCCTTAAAGTTGCCGCTCTGGTAATCCAACGAGGTCTCCATGGCGCGCACGCCCCTCAGTTGTTTGGGCAGCGCGGGGATCGCGTTGTCGCCGACGGCCAATTCCGGCACCGAGGAGTGATGCGAGAAGACCAAGGAGTGCTTGTCCAGCACACGCATCTTGAAGTTGTTGTTCTCGTCCAGCTCGTCCTGGTCAAGCGCAAATTTCTTGTACCACAGCACAAGCTCCTTCTCCGACCCCCGCACTTCAGGGTTAAAGACGTAAATAATGCCGTCCGCGTTGGCCGCCACGGCTGGCCACCCTGCCTGGTGCTTGCTGCTGCCGCTGAGGTCCCACAGCTGCACGACGGCCCGCTTTGGGCCCGCAACGTGGCGGCTGCCCACCTTGAGGTTGTCGAGGCCGATCTCCACCTCCAGAATGCGGAGGGGTTTGGTCTCGTAGTACTCCTTTGTCGGCGTGTCGCGGACCCCGGCGAGGAAGTTGGTGATGGTGGACTTCCCCGACTTGCTCGGGCCCAGGACGAGCACCTTCACCTTCTCCTCCGACATGGCGTCACTCAATCGCCGTCACCGCTCCTCGGTTTGCTGCTTGCCGTGCCGTTATTTATTTCCTTCTTGATATATATATATATATATACGAGCGTGTGTGTGAGAGTGTGTGTGTGTGTGTGTGTCGCTGAATGCCTGGGTGTGTCCGGGGCACTGTGCGCCTGCCTGCAACGCAAGGAACGCCCAACACCTCCCCCGTCCCGCTACTTCACTGCAGAGTCGAGACAGACGAAAAAAGGCGTGCAAAGGGTTGGGTGCGGTCCACTACACGCCTGCAGCAATGCACGCCCCGCCCAGACCCACACACAACGAAGCGGCAACGCAGGGAGAGCGAGGGGGCAAGAAGGCATAATTATGCACATGCAGTTCCCTCTCACCGTCTCATTCAGCCGCTGCGAGGAGGGGCCTGCGGGGAAAGGGGGCGGGGAAAGGGGGCGGGCGAAGGGGAAAAACAAACAAACAAACAAAATCAAACAACAACAACGAGAACGAGAGCAGCAGCCAGTCAACCAAAAATAAACAAAATTGAACAAAAAAAACGACGGATATATTTACATGGGCGCTTCCAAGTGTCAGCGGCAAAAAATTAAGAAAAAAAAAGTCAGGCGCCCCCCACAAAATCTGTCTTCTTACTCCTTCGCCTTTTTTCCCTCCTGCAGCCGCGCCAGTAACGCACTCACCGATAGGTCCTCGGAAGGATCAACGTAGCGGACAATGTTACTTGCTGCCATGGCAGCGGGACCCCATACCGCGTGGCGTCTCCCGTCAAGAGACTCCACCAGACGGACGTAGCGTTCAAAGTCCAACTCGCCGTGGCTTCCGGCAAACTTGTTCCACTGCTCCTGCAACCCAGAAAGAAGTGCATCGCTGTCTTTAGAGGACGCCGGACGAGTTCCACGGCGAATGAGTAACTGGTCGCGCAGGTACTTGGCCACCGCCTTCACCGGCACGTGCGGTACATGCTCTAGTAAAAGGGAGTTCTTCCCGGCGCGTAGGGCATCCCAAGAGGAAAGCGCCACCCGAATCGCGGGGAGCCAGTACTTCCCATCCTCAACGCTAGCGTATCCCATCGCCTGGTAGAGAATCTGATGTTCACTTGCAACGCTTGCAGAGATGGAGTAGGCGCAAAGAGCATCTTCTATTGCCTGCCAGGAGTCCACCACATCATCGCAGATGAATTCGTACAAGAGATGCTTGAAGAGCGTGCTCCACAGGACGCCGGCATTCTCCACAGTGATAGACGCCGAAGACAGGAATAAACGCTCCGGCAGGAGGACATTGTAGTTCAGCAGTTCGAGCGACTCCGTTTGATTCCCAGCATCGTTTCGGGCCGCGTCAAGCAGCTGCCGCAGGAGAGCCAAGGGATAGGAGGGATACATGGCGACTAGGACGCTCGCAAATTGAACCACAGGTATGAGACCCTGCGGCTCACCTGTTGGAACCCGCTCCATATCCAAGAAACGGCAAATAGCGATTAGCATGGCGGCATCAAACTCCAGCATACGAAAAAGATCTGCGGTTACCTGCTTTCTTGACACTAAACCAAAGGCATAGGTCAGCGAGCCGCAGTGGGGACCACGAGAAACCGCGTCTATCGCGTAGGTCACGACAAGGTGCTTGTTGGCCTTTTTTACGACCCCAGGCTGCAGCGAGGTCTCTGGTGTAACCTGGGAGTCAAGTTCGCTTTGCTGTATTGCATGCAGCACGTAGTCGCGGGTAAAAACATCCAAGGACTTCGCCTCCGCCTCCTGACGCCATTGAGAAAGAATGACATAGACAATGCTTTCTGCAACAAGAGGCTTCATGCGAACGTACTCCACGCTGGAAAAGGAACGCAAATGCTCCGGGGTATCCGGGTTGTTGCCTGCCCTTGGAAGCCAAAAGTGGCACAGCGCGTTGTCGTTGACGACAGCGGTGGTAGTGGCGGCGGCGGCGGCGGGGAAGAAAGCCTCCTTGCTACCGCCGCCGGTCTCACTCTTCCCCGCCAACGCGGTGCCTTCCTTCGACTCCGCCGCGGCCGCGGGGCTCGCCTCATCTCCCACCGAGGCCTCTGACGCGGAGGAAAGCCGCTTCGGGGGCTGCGCGAAGCGGAGGAAGGCCTCGGCCGCCTTCTTCATTCGGTTCTCACGGAGAGACTCCCACCAGCTCTGGAGCGAAGAGTGGCGACTCACGAAGACGGACATCAAGACGTTGCGCGTGATTTGAAGGTCCCGTTGAAGCCGCTCGCTTCGCTGCGTTTGGAGCAAAGTTTCATTTTGGTGCTTTTGGCACTCCACCGCAAAGGCAATGTTGTGGTCCGTGAGCACCGAGAGGCGGGCGGCGAGCTCGACGCACTGCTGGGCGTACTTCCCATTCAGGGTCATGAGCTCCTGAAGCCGGCGGCTCAGCTCATCCCGCTCCTTTTGCAGCGCCGTCACCTCCCCCTGCAGCTCATCCACGGCCTTCTCGTTTGCAGCGCGGGCGATCAAACGCTTCACGTACCTCGCCGAATTCTCATCGTCGTCAGGCGGCACGGCGGCATCACCCGTTACCCCTCTTGCGTGGGACAAAACAAACTGGTGCTTAAGTAGACCCTCCAACTTGGCCTCGCGCGCCTGGGCGGCCACGATCTCCGCCTTGAGGTGATCGCGCTGCATGGCCGCCTCATCCACTAATTTTGCCATGCGCACCTCCATCATGCGCATGCGCTCGTGTGCGGCCGCCACCTCTTCCTTCTCCGTGGCGCTCCATGCCGGCAGGCAATTCTGCGGAGCCCCGCCCCCATTTGCGAAATCCGCCTTCTCCTCCAGCAATTCGTCGATGAGACCAAAGATGAACCCGAGCGTTTTCTGCAGGATGGGCCGGTAGATGCCGGAGTTGGAGGTGAAGAGCGCAAGAGCGGCCCGCGCCAATTCCACCTTCGTGATGCGTCGCCGCGAGAGCAACGGGTCCAAAGGTCTGTCCGAGGAACTCACCGCGTGCAAGTCCGCGTCCGGTGCGTTCTGCAGGCTCCGCCGCCCCACAACCTCGTCGTCGTCGTCGTCGTCGTCGTCGGCACCGCAGTCCATCTCTGTCAACCACAACGGGTACGACTCCTTCGCCTTCCTCGCAGCTCCATGACTGCCATCACCGGCGGTGGCTCCTTTGTGAACATTGGCCGCCGCAGCCTCCACGGAGGCCATGAAGAGGTGCTTGTGCCTGCTGCTTCCCCGCTTGCGGCCGCAGTCTATCGTGCCCTGCTCCCCTGCACCGTTGGCGGTGTCCCAGGTGGCCAGCACATGCTGCAGCTGTTGCAGCAGCGCGGTCATTGCCCCCCACACCGCACGCACACTCAGCGAGAGAGAGTGCGAGGGCGGGCAACCGCAAATAAAAAATGAAACACACACACGAGTTGAACTCAGACAAGAAGAACTGGGAAAGAGGGAGGGGATGAAGCACAACCTGGCCCCAGCGGTTGAAAAACTTCCGCCCACCCCAATGAAAGGGAGAGAGCGGTGAAGCAATAAGAAAAAATGATAATGAAAAAAAAAGTGAGAAGAATGAAAGCATCCGCGACAAAGCGTGTACTTCTTTGCCCGTTCTAAGTTTCATTCCTGCCCATATGTCAGGCTTTCAGCAGCGCCCAGAGGTTTTCCATCCACTGCGTGGTCGGCCCTCGAACGGCGTCTTCACGCGACGCCGCCGCGGTCTCGTGGAAGCACCGCTCCACGGCGCCCAACACCTCCCCCAACCTCGTCAATTCTGGCGATCCGCCACTTGCGTCGGCGAGGGCGCGTGGTGGAACGTCGTTGGTGTGGAGCTGCTCCAGCACGATAGACTCCAGAAGCTCCATAAACCCTCCTGAAGTCAGTCCCATTGAGGTGTATGGCTTCTTGACCTTACTGGAGGAGCGAAGAACGCGCTGCAGCAGCAACAAGCGGGTCACGATGGGGGGGAGTGTCTGCAGGATGTTGTACCATTCCCCCACTGGCCTCTCGCCCACCTCCTCCGGCAGGCTGTACCACACTGCCAGTTGATGCAGCTGCCCCTTCAGCGCCATGGTGCTGCGAGCAACTGTTCCATGCGTAAATGCCGGCCCAAAGGACAGCACCACGCGTGTAATTTGTTGCAGGCAGTTCACCAGGTGCTGCTGCGTGCTTGTCGTAAAGGGATACACCAAAGCGACAGCAACGATGAGTCTCGCAAGGAGTCTATTTGTGAGTCGCCTGGATTGTTCATCCAACGTGGGAGTTTGTGGCTCAAACAGGTAATAAAAGTGAGACATGAAGTGTCGCATTTGGCTATGTAGCTGTCCTACGCCTGCCGCCGCCTGCTCGGCTGTCCCGTCCACGCACATTAAAACGGAGTCCAGAAGCAGCACCGCCGCAGACCTAAAGAAGGGCTGCACAACCTGCTCACTCATGGACGTAAACTCCTTGGCAAAACCACGGAGCTGGTGGTACTTGTCCAGCACCGATTCCTGCTCACTGGAGGCAGCTGTCTGCCTCTCCTCCAGCTCCTCGCCTCCCAGGCCGGTGGGAGCCCATCGCCCGTTCATAATGGCACCCGCGGCAAAGAGCTCACACTCTGGGAGCGACGCCAGTAACGCCGTCAAATCATTACAAAGCAGCGTACATGCATTGCTGACGCAAATGTGGAGCAGCTGCGACACAGTCGCCTCACCAGACACAGCGGGAAGTGGCGGAAGTGGCCATTTCCCCGTCGCCCCCGTAACTGGCTGCATAAAGGCGGTGAGACACTGGAGGATGCAGTCCAACACTATGGAAAGCGTGTGAGGATTTTGCCGGTACATCGCCACATCCTGTGTCGCCAAGATGGTGTACGCGCGTGTATCCAAGGCACGGGCTGCCGCAGGGACCTCGGGTCGTTGAAGATCAACAACGACACTTACCGTCGTGCGCCCGCCCGCGGTTGGAAGGATAGACTGAAGTCTTGAGAGTATGTGATGCAGTCGCTCACGATGGCGGTCTAGCACTTGCGCGGCAAAGCGCTCATCCACCTCCTGCGTGACCTGGGAAAGCCAAACCCGCTTCAACCCTTCGGAGGCAGCGGCAGTAGCGCTAGTAGAAGTGGAAGGTAATTTTTTGGCAAATGGCGATGACCCAGCAGTCGTTTGCTTCGCCGCAACCGCGTCATGCTCCACAAGGCGATCCAGTATCTGCAGGAGCCCATCCATGCCGCCTAGGAATCCGTTGAGTAGACTCTGGTAGTGCATCACGTCCGCGGCCAGGGCTGCGAGGAAGCTGGGACGCTTCTGAACTGCCTGTAGCCGCTCCCTGAGCTTCTCCATGACAACTTGCCAGTAATCACCTAGCATCAGGGTCGGGTTTTCCACTGCGCTAAGGTACGGCGTGTGCGTGGTGGGATCCGCCCTTTTCACCAGGACGCGCCAGACAGCGACCACCACCTGGGTGTGCTGCGACACGCTCGCGAGGGCTGATTTGATGTGTGTGAAGAGAACCTCACGCGTGCGCAGGTTGGCATCGTTGGCGGTGGTGCCGGTTCCATGGCTCGCCTCGTCGATCATGGATTGCAGGTCCAGTTCCCGCATCAGCGTGCGTATCACCTCACGCTTCTGCTCCGTCATGAGGGTGCCGAGTACCCGAGGAAGACTCCCCAGAGTAAAGAGGCACTGCAAGGAAATGGCCACACCCGACGCGTCCTGCGCATCCCCACGCCGCAGCATTTCCTGGGCCTTGGTGCGAATGGTGACTGCCGCGCGCTCCACGGCGTCCATGCGGGCGTCCACCACCTCGATCCCCTTGAGGTCACTGATCTGAAGAAGCTCTTCCACCTCCCGCAGCGTGCGAGAGGCCCGGGCAAGGTCTTGCGGGAGCTGACTCTTCAGACGCGTGGTGAGGCCGACAAACTTCAGAACACTCCGCAATGTCGTTAAGGCGAGGCTCGTGTTCTGCAACTTTGTGATGTTCGCGTTGATGACACGGTACGGCTCCTGCACGGTGTGCCGCAGCCTACTCGTGGAGCTCACGAGGGAGGCAGTGGCTTGCCGCACCGCCACCACGTCGCGCTGCGCTCGGCAGGCGGCCGTGACCTGCTGCAGCATGTCCTCCGCGTTCTCCGAGAGTATCTTGTGCACCTCCTCCCGCACGGCCTTGGCGCAGGACGCGAGACGCGCCTGCTCAGCCTGGCAGTTGGAGGCGTGGAGGGCGTAGCGCAGGTACGCCTCCTCGTCAAAGTCGGGGCTCATCAACGTGCTGTCGGCGAACATTGCGTGCTAACGGCAATTCCTGCAAAATGAAACAAAAGCAATAAACAAAACAACACGCTTGAAGCATTCAACAGCGGAAGGCCGAGAAAAAACAAAAACAAAAACGCATTGCCGCTCCTTCACCATGCTATTGCCAAAGGGCCGCATTTTCACGTTGTTGTTGTCTGTTTGTTTTTTTTGGCTTCTCTTCCTTTTTGCCTTGCTTCCGGTTTATGTGCGCTGCCCCTCCCCCCTCCCTTTTTTTTTTCTCTCTCTCCCTCGCCACGCTGAAAGAAACCAAAAGGAAGTGTCGCGCAGCAGGTAGCCGGGTGGCAGGCCCCCACACACGCACGCAAGCGCGCCATCCATGCGCCGTCCGCCGCAAACTACGAGGGTGCAGAAGCACCTCTGTGATCACACAACAGCCGCTCCCGCGCCTTGGCAACCAGCTCCTTCAGCGTGTCGTCAACGCAGCGGCTGTCCGCAGCCAACGTGGCCACGGCTTCCAATAAAAAGCTCCTAGAATCGTCTGGAATGGGGGAACGGATCCGCAGCAGGGCCCGCAAGAGGACTTGCAGGCTGGAGACGTCATCCGCGGTGACGCATCGTCCAGCCTGTGCAAGGGCGTAGAGGAGACGGCTCGTGACTGCCACGCTGTGGGCGTTCTGGAGGTAGCGTTGTAGTGGTGCGCCACACAGCAGCTCTGTGGCCTGTCCAACGCCCGGTGAGACACACTGAAGGCGGACACAAGCGACCATCGCAAGGGCGAAGTTGAGGCCCTCCAGCGACGACAGCACCGCGTTCACTAGTGTCAGTACAACCTCTTCGCACCCCACGACGTAAAAGTGGGCCAGCGCCTGCAGAGTCATGGAGACGGCAGACGGGGTGGGGTCCCTCAGCGTTCCGGCTGGCTCTGTTAGGTGCGACGCCTGTGAGGAGGACAACACTCGCAAGAGACGCAAATGGCGGTACGAGCACATATGAAATGCCTTTAAAATGTACCCAATATCAAGTGGCGTCAGTTGCGGCGCCAGATCCATGGAGCGGCGGGCGACACTGTTGAGAAGCCCACGTGGGCCGCTGCAGGTCAAAGCGATCACGCGACAGACATCCAAAATTATCCCCTTGGCCGCAGCTGCATCTTCGCAAACTTCCACCTCGCTGCAGAGCCGCGTTTCCGCCGCGGCAAGAACCTGTTTGGCCTCCTCGGGGTACGCCTCGGCCAGCATAACGGCGCACTGACGCACATCCGTGAGTGGGGTGTCGGCAACCGTCTTGACGACCGTGTCGGTAAGAATTTTTACGAGGCTTGCGTCCCCCACCCCGCAGCGGTGCAGCAGCCGTAGGACGTGAATGGCCTCTCGCGGAATTAGGTCCGGCGCCACCTCCCGCAGGCGCGGAAGCAAAATCGCCACAATCTCCGCCGTTTGCGGGTGCCGCAACTTGGAGAGTATGAGGAAAAAGGCGGACACGGCCACCGCGTCTAAGAGGAAGGCGTTTTTGGTGTGCTGGTTAATGAGGGCGTAGGTGGCGGGGAGGTCCACGGCGTCAAAGTAGGCGGCGACGCGGAGCGCGCGCTGCGCCTGCACGAAGCGAGGGTCCTCGTCCGTGGAGAGGAGCGGGAGGGCGCGCAGAATTTGCACCGCCTCCGTCCGCAGCGCGGGGTCGAAGGTGCGCTGGTGGCGCTGCTGCAGCGCCACGAGCTCCGCCACCCGCTCCACCGCCAGCCGCCCCGCGGGGGACAACCGACGCTCCTGCGCCCGCCTCACGGAGTTGCCAAAACTCTGCTGATGGACTTTGGACCGCATCCGCACGGCGATGTCCTTCGCCATTTTCTCAAAGGGACCGCCCATTCCCTTCGCCACCCCGACCTCGTGCGTGAGCCTGTCGCCGTCTGCTTCCGAGCCACGGGCAGCGGTCCCGCCCTGCCGAGTAGCCGCGCGCGCAACGACCTCCTTCATCACGGGGAGAGAAAAAAAACACACGGGGAGTGGTGGAGGGGGAAAAGAGAGATGCATGTGAGCCCGCCGCAACGCATCGTTGAGCAAATAGTAGAGCGAAGGAAAAACAAACAAACGGAAGTAGTAAATATAAAGAGGACTCAACACACTCAGCGACGAAACTTGCTCCCCGCAGATCCAGTCAAGCCGGGAAACGAGCTGTTCGCTGCTACTTTTTTTTTTATTTTGCTTTGTTTGTTGTTTTTTTTTCTCTCTTGCGCTGCTGCCTCTGATGCTGCTGTTGTCTCAGTTGCGCAGTTCTACGCCCATTGCAATGAAGTGGGCGATGCTAACGTTAACCATAACCCCCTGCAAAGCCGAATCCGGCATATTTGGCATTTTTTTTCTTTGTTTGTTCCTTTGCATACGGCCGCCCTTCCGCCAAACTCGTACGAACGGCAATGATAATACTAACAATACTTCTAATACTTTTGCGGTTGTCGCCCCCTGCCCCTCCACTCCTCGTGTCGCGGCTCCGCTCGTTCCCAGTATGGCTCGTCACGGCATAATTTTGCAGCCGACGTTGCGAGGGTACATGCGCGGTTTCTGGCCGGGGTCGTCCACGCCCTCCGGCGTCCGCTGGCCTATTTCCGCTGGTGGTGAGACTTCTAGTTTGGAGAGAAAACTCTCCGTGTAGCCGAAGGAGGTGATGGCGGGCTGGTTCACTAAGTCACCGCCATCGTCGGTGCGGGGGCGCTCAATCACGGCGTGGTTCATGCCGTACGTAATGCAGGCCTCCATGATGTCCTCGCACTCCTCCTCCGTGGCGCCTGCGAGCCGGATCATGCGCTGGTCGGTGGGGGTGTAGTTGATGTACATGTGCGGCTCGCCGAAGGAGAGCTCCTGGATGGTGAAGGTGCAGAAGGGGTTGAGCAGCTGCAGCTCCGGAAGGTTGTTGCGCCACCAGTTGCGCACGCCAAAGCAGTTCGGGTCCTTCGGATTCAGCCACACTGTGAGCGACGCCACACACGGCGTGAAACGCGCCCGCCACGACATATTCGCTTCGCCACCTGCCAAAAAAAGAAAAAAAGAAAAAAAATAGTCGCTGCAGAAGGAAAACGCAAGACGCAAAATAAATAATAATAACAAATAAGGCAATTCGCCGGCAGCAAAGGAGCGCCCGCAAAAGCACAGCCAAGACAACGTTGTTTTCGCTTCCTCCTCGTTATACTCCAGACTCCCTGTACATACAAATGGCACAAGCGGCACTTGCACGCTGCTGTTCACTTCTTGTTGCGCGAGGGCTTCTTCTTGGCCTCATCCCCGGATACTTCCGTCTCGAGGGGAACCTGCGGCAGCAGAAGCAGCCGCTCGTAGAGCATATCGCTCAGCTCCCGCTGCACCGCGCGCAGGCCAGGATCACCGTCGTGCAGAATCACAAAGGTGCGTAACGTAATGGCGGCGCAATAAAGCTCTGGCGGCTGCAACGCACAGCTCTGCAGCGCCGACATCTCACTCTCCTCTAAAGGTTCGCGAAGAGACAAAACACGCAGTGCCTCGCGCGCGCCGCCCAGCGTCACCCTTCGGTTGTTTCCAAAGTTGACGCAACGCAAAACGGTGTTGCCAGGCACCCGCACTGTGTGTTCCATGCGAAAGCAATCACGGTCAAACGGTGAGGTGGGGCGGACCAAGACAAGCTCTGTCTTTTTCGCCTTCGCTTGCGTGCCCTTCTTAGACTCCTTCTTTTCCTCGGCAACGGCAGGGTATCTGGCTTGGTACCACGCCGTGTAAACCTCCTGGTAGCTGGGGTAGGTCGGGGGAGGCGTGGTCGCCAGCTGCCGCTCCCGCATCGTCGCATCACGACGCAGCAGTTGCCGCTTGCGGTACATCTGCAGCCTCTCGAACGGCACCTCCTGCATGCGGAAGCAGTCCACCACGCTAAGGAGCCCCATGTCCCCAATATCGTTATGGCCCAAGTCCAGTGCCTGTAGCGTGCGGTTCTCCTTCAGCACTTGTGCGAGCGCCACAGCCCCATCATCGCCAATACGGTTACCCCACAGGTTAAGACTGACGAGTTCACTACGTGGGTGGCAAAGCAGCAGAGACGCCATGGTTGCGACATCATCGTTGGTAATGCCGTTCCCCCGCAGGCTCAGGTGCTTTACGCCAGTCAGCAGCATAGCGGCCCACCCACGCGGGACAAGCACAGGGTTGTCTTTGTCAATCTGCGCCAGGGCGTCCTGCTGCTGCTGCAGCTGCGTCTGCTTCTTGGAGTCTACCTTTCCCTTTCGCCCCTTCTCCTCGCGAGACTGTTGCTCGAGCGACAAGAGCACGCCTTTGAGGCCCCTGTAATCGGTGGGATGAAAGGTGGGTGCGTCAGCGCCGAACAGTTTCCTCAGCGACAGCGACCTCTCCGTGGTCAGGGTGCGGCTCCCGCCGCCCATCACGCAGGAGCGCCGCATGCTCCCCGTCATGGAGTCTGCGGGCGGTTGGCTCAGCAGCGGGTCCGGCGTGGGGCTCGCAAGCGACACGCCCGCCACCCGCGTCGAGGTTCGCGGGCTTGTCAAGTGAGAGACGGTGGGGTCGGTGTAGAAGCCTGAATTGGCAACGCCGTTAAAGTCAATTGTCACGGAGGCCACGCGGCGACTCATGTAGATCGCCTTCACGAGCAGGAAATAGCTCTCCTCAGACAACCCACAGCCAACGAGCTCAACAGAGACAAGTGAGACGCAGTACGGTATGGCGAGCGCCAGGGGCTTGACGTCACGCTCGTTGAGGCAGAACTTGAGATGCCGCATCGCGATAAACGTAAGCGTCGGTGGGGCCGCGGGCGAAGAAAGCCTGCCAGCGTCGTTAGCTGCCGCAGCCTTCTTCCTGCTCTTTGTGCTCCCAATCGACCCGCTACGCCCGGAATGGGCGGCCATCTGCATGGTGGCGGAAGGGGTGGCGGTGGGGAGGGATGTCTGCAGTGGGGAGAGAGACGAATCTTTTGCCTCCGTGCTGGTGTCCGCATCACTGGGGGGGTGCGTCGCGAGGTATTTGGTCTCCGCCTCGTGCCGCCGCTCCTCGTCGGTGACGATGGAGCGGTACACCTCCTCCCGCTCCGTGACGCCGAGTGCGTGGCAGTACGCCCCGTAGTCGGAGCGGAGCACGCCGGAGGGCTCGAAGAGCATTCCTTTCGCGCCCCAGTGCAAGGCCAGGCAATAAAAAACAAAAACAAAAATGCAATAGCAGCAATAATAACAAACTGTCGTGCAGCCTCGCCTGGCGCGTGAGCCCCCAAAAGGGAGGAACGGAAGGAGGCGCAGCAGCAGCAGCAGACAGAGAAAAAAAAATCAACACATTTCAAATCGCGTCTGCCCCAGACGCCTCCCCCGCCTCCCTTTGCGGCTGGTTTACACAACCCGCCGGCCCTTCCCGCCGCCCGCTCTCTCGCTCCCGCTCTCTCGTTACTATTATTTCTCATTTCTCTGGTGGAAGGGGGGACGCGCGAAGGGCCGGAAGGGAGGAAGTTCAACTATACATCTCTTGCTACATTGCCCTCGCCCCCCACGCTGCGCCCCCGGCGTCGTCGGCGTCGTCGGCGTCGTCGGCGTCGTCGGCGGGCAAGTGACGCGTCCATCGAAGATGAGGCATGTGAGGTACAGAAAATAACGAAAGAGCAAGCCCGACAAAACAAATACAAAAAATTCACAAATAAATAGAAAGCCCGAGTCAGAAAGAAGGCAAAGGTAAAAAAAAAAAGTAGTAAAAACAAAAACAAATGAGAGTAAGCGGGAGTTTCGATCTCCCTCTCATTTCTCCTGCTCATGCTCGCTTTCAGCGGTCGGAAGTTCCTCTTGCTCCTGCTTCTGCCGCTCGGTGAAGTTCTGCTCAAGTCTTCGCTGCAGTTCATGCACGCGCCGCCGCGCCAGCCAGCCTCGTGCCGCCTGTTGAACTATAGTCACACAGCGCAGCAGCTCCTCTACATCACTGTCTGGCTCACACTCTTCGTCCGGGGCGAAGTAGCCAAGGCTGGCCCACAGCTCCTTCGGGTCAGCTGCTTCTGCGGCAATGGCAGTCATGGCCGCCGTGATCTCCTCGTCCTGGGCCTGTATGGTGTTCCAGTACTTCTCCATCGCGTCGCGCTGCTTCCGCACCAGCTGACGCGCCCGGTAGGCGCGGTACGCACGCTGCACCTGCATCGCCGCGTAATGCAGCATAGCCTCGATCTCAATGTCCAGCGTGCGCTGCTCCTCCACCATCAACTGCCGCCTCCAGAGCTCATTTTTGGCGTGGCATATCCGCATAAAGGAAAGCACCTTTTCAGCGGCTTCTTCCGCCTGCACCTGACGCATTGCGGCTGATTTGCGGCGAGACAGCTCTTTTCGTGCTGCCACTGTATGCGCAAACCTTACAATTTTACCAGCGGCCCGCGCCTCAACGGCGTCCTTCTCCTCCGCCTCATTTAAATAATACAGAATCGCACGAGCACGAGCAGCGCGTTCCTTTTTGGCGTACAACACGCGTGCAAAATTGGCCAGCGTGGGAGCGACTTCAAGTTGCCGCAGCTTGCACAAGTAAGTCGCTGTTGCATGTTTACGAGCTGCACGCTCCCGCTTTGCTCTAATAATGCGCAGAAAGCCTTGCAGTGCCGCAAGGTGATGATTCTCAAGCTGCGGGACTGTTGTGGAGCTGACTCCCGTGGACTTTGAGGCACCCTTGCGGCCGCCAATCAGCATCGCACTCTTTGCGGCCCGCAGAAATGCCTGTACGGTGGCAATGCGTCGCACCTTACGCACCTCCGCCGCCCCTGCCTGATGCACCTCGGAAAACTGATGCAGTAATTTGTGATCCAGCACGGGGGGCTCGTCACGATCGAGGTCCACCCTGTGCTCCACGTACGCCTCCGTTACCGCCTTCAAAGCCTTAACGTACCGGCGATCTAGGTAGCCGCGGGCCACGCGCGTGACATCCGTGGCAGCCTTCTCCTGCCGCTTCGCGGCCCCCAACGCCTGCAGCTCCCGCAGCCTTCGGCGAGCGGCCGAGGCGGGGGCCGGCTGCGTTGGCGTGGGCGTCCGCAGTTCCACCCGGCGGCGGCTAAGCGGTGGACGAGGGATGAGTTGCCGCAATTCCTCCTGGGTCTCGGCGGCGGCAATTTTATGAAGACGGTACTCGTTCGCCTTGGCGCGAAGCGCGTCTCTTTCATCGCGAAGAAGCTTCTCCTTCGCCATGGCGCGCCGCCGCTTCTCCCGCTCGACAGCCAGCGCCTCCTCTAAGCTGCACGACGCCTCGGACACGCCCCCCTCCTGCGGGGAAAGCGAGGAGGCCAAAGCAGAGGCAGAGGCAGAGGCAGACGCAGGGCGCACCGCAACAGCTGGCATGACGCATGGTGCAGCTGTGGGTTCTTCCAGCAAACCCCCTGGCTTCTCTTTTTGCTGAGCACCCTTGGCCGACTCCATCTCCAGCTCCCCCAGCTTCTGCTCGTCCGCGGCCAGTCTCCGTAATTCTCCCCCCTCCCACTCATAGAGGGCATCGCAAAGTGCATCCAACCGCTCCTGCTCTTCCTGAATCGACTTTGCTTCAGACAGCCCTTTTGCCTTCTCCCCTTGACTCGGCTCCCACTCCAGCTCTTCTAGCTTTTCCTCCTCCTCTTCTTCCCATAAAGCGACGGCTTCGTAAAGTGCATCCAACCTGGCCTTCTCTTCTCGAATCGACTTTGCTTCAGACAGCCCTTTTGCCTTCTCTCCTTGACTCGGCTCCCACTCCAGCTCTTCTAGCTTTTCCTCCTCCTCTTCTTCCCATAAAGCGACGGCTTCGTAAAGTGCATCCAACCTGGCCTTCTCTTCTCGAATCGACTTTGCTTC